CAATAGGGACGACTGTGGCATTGCTTGTTTAAAGCAGAAACTTGTAAGCTAAGTTCACTAACCTGTTTTTGTAAACTTTCAATCACTTCCGTTTTTACCGTTATGGATGATGCAGCAGCTATTTGGGAAGTAACAGAGTTTAATTCCCAAATCTTATCGGCCATTGTAGCCACTTTTGACAAATCTTCACTACTAACAGATATAATGCTACGGATATTAACGGGTAAACGTTGTAGCCACAATGTTTTTAGGAAAGTATCTGTTACTTTATCGCCCGCCAAATTACGCATCTCACACAGTAATTGAGATGGCTTTTTGTCACCCAGTTCTAATTCACTCAGTAATTTTTGGCTTTTTTGAGTCTCTGAATCATCATATAATGAAATTAGTCTATTTTTAATTCCCTCATATTTATTATCTTGTGGTGGACTTAGCAAAATATCAGATACCTGTGACAAAATATCGGGTTCAATGGAACTTATAACATAATCGTATTTTGTTTGATCTGCACTAATTTTTGCATTTCTAAATTGTGCTTCTAGTTGAATAAACCATATTTTAGGATCTGGCTTCCAAAAAGGAGGAACTTTAACGCTTACCTTGGCGACAGATGCAGTTGTTGCTTTAATTTCGGTTTCGTCTTCGTCAGCCATTGTAGAATTCGATCACGCCGGGATACACCAGTGAAGTGTCTGGTATGCAAACGTAGGAAAATAACACTTCTCTGACTCCAATGGAACCAATATTTTATTCCTTACGAAGTTATAGATTCTTATTCATAAGATTTATTTACATTTTACATGCACGTTCAATCGCGTGACGGAAAACGAAAGTTTGTTTTCTTCTTTCTTTATGGTGTGTGTGTGTATTTAATTATGGCAAAGCACACTAGGGCTATCTGCCTAAGGGGAGGGATGCCTTTCGTGGAGGACTCTCTAAGGGAAACTGGCTCGTATACACGTTACACATGGGGAAAACCACGAAAACGCCTATGCAGCCAGCCCGTTCGCGGGATTCGAACCTCGGACCGAACTACCAGTGTTCAGCAACTTTACCGCTCGGCCGCTGGTGGGCCGTTCTTTATGGAGACTAGAAAGTGTTGCCATTCCGCTTTAACTAAATTTAATTAGAAACTTAACGGAACTGAAGCGACACTACAGGGAGCGCGGCCTAGTGTTATTAAACTGATCTCATTGGTGCCAGCTTCATAATTATGAGCATCACTTATTAGCCCAGCCGGGCACGTGATCTCATCTGCAGTACCGATAGGCCGCACCATGCTTTCCGTCTGAGACGTGCTTGCAGCCGGCTTCTCGGGGATCTCACTAGATGGTGTAGCAGCTGGAAGCTCTATCGTGAGCAGGCTGGTGGGCGTGGCTATGTTCGGGAGAACAGGTTCATTATGCGCAGAGTCTCTGATTGGTTGCGGCGTCTTAGCACGGATCACCGTTGGCGAATCAGAAGTCATTTGGTTGCTTTTGTAGGCGTTGAGTATCCAAGTAGCTGGAGTTCTCCCTTTGAAGCGGTGATGCCTGGGTTTCTTCGAAATTTTAGTCAACCCATGGTCACATTCATCATCTTCACTGTCAACATCTAGGGGAATTTCCTGCTCGTTGTCATCTCCAAAGGAATACCGATTTGCCACAGGTACACTGTAGTCATGAGTAGGACTGAGAGGTCTTTTTTGACTTGAGCGAAATTCATTATGATTTTCCATAAAGGTGCTGGTGACAGGAATTTCCAGTTGAGGTGGGTTGTTAGTAGTCGTTGCGACATTAGAGCTGGGGCTAGCAGCCTTTGCAGCGTTACAGCTGAGGCGAGCAGTAAGATTTTTATGCATACAAGCCCGAAAGCCTTCTAGCATGGTGAGGTCTCTGGCTTCTTGCTCGGAGAGCTGAATCTTCGAATCTCGCTTAGCTTCAAGCTCAGAGATGAGTAATGCAATTACATCAAAAAGACATTCCATCATCATGCAAATCAAGTCCAAATCCATAAAAGGGATCAAATTCACAATGAGCTAAAAAATGCAAAAGCTCGGTGAGGCTCTTTTACAACCAACAACCGTAAGGTCGTACGGCCAACCTGCTTTGAGCTGAATGCAAAACAGAAAATGCTACTCAGTACCAACAGAGCAAAACACGAGCGAGGGGACTAACCTCAGAAGCACTTCAAGACAAGGGCGTATTTAAAGGAAAGGCTGATGGCTTTCCTCCCACCGTCTGTCACCACGACAGCCGACATCCGAGGCGCAGTATTCGTTCAGGGGCCAGTACACTCATCAGCCCGGCGCTAAGTGTTTTGCCGCTCGATGCCTCTCTAAATTCCAAAAATTTTGCTGCCTGTTAATTCTGCTGTCAGTGCATCTTCTAAAAATCTTGTCATTCCTAAATGCTTGGCACTTCCAAATGCAGACATACACCCACTTTTACCTGACTTTTTTTTTCTTTTTCTTTTTCTTTTCTTTTCTTTTTTTTTTTTTTTCTTCTGGTAGGATAAAAATAGAATTTTGATTACTTTCATTGTGATTCTGGAGCCTTCTGAAACTTCAGACCTGTGTTTTGTGGGCCGTGGCTCTAATAAGGCCGTCCCCCGAACAGGGAGGAAAAGCAAGATATTTTAGAGCAAGTTAAACTTTTGACCTAACTAAAGACAGAAATGATTCATTTATATGACGCAGTCTTAAGAGTCTCAGTTCATTAAACTACTGTTCAATAATTTTCAGTTCTATTATTTTTACCAAATTAATATTTCATAATTTAACAATTTAATTAATTCAAAAATTGAATTTTCGTTAACATCTGTTCAACTGTCTTGATAAATTTACTACATAAATTGCTTTGTAAGCATTTAATTTTGTTTAGAACACAGATTTATATTAAATGCGTATTTGTAAAATTTGAATTATTTATAACTCAAAGTCGTCAGTTGCGAGTCTTTAATTATTTTATTTACCGAAAAGAAATGTATTATCAATTCGAACTGGTTAAAAATTCGTTAATGTTCGAGAATTGAATCAATTCAGTTTTCAAATTTTTAAGAAATACTTTTGAAATTTTTAAAAATGCTTGAAAGAAAACAAAGCCTTATTGAGATCCTGAGTTTATTTTTTGACAAATAAAACTTGTTTATCAAATTCACTGTTTTAAATAAAAATGATATTACAAAGCAAATTTCCACCCTAAAAAGAACATGCAGTTCGTGAAAAATATGCGTTTTTTTTTTTTTTTTTTTTTTTTTTTTTTTTGCATAATAGCATTTTTATACTTAATCTCGGTAACCTTACGATTTAAAAAAAATCTTGGTTTTGACAAGTGAGGTAGGCTTCTTTAACTAATGAATAATTTAATATAGCATATCACAATTTAAGTGACATTGGAGAAGTTTTCTTCAATACGCATGCATCGTACAAGCCTTTTCACTCCAAACATCTATTAACTGGAAGATATTTTTCTCCCACAACTTTCAAAGTTAATTTTAAATTATTATTATTAAATCTGATAGAGTTTCAATTATTCCAACTAACTGGGACTATAGGACAAGACAGGAAAAAGTGGGCAGAAAACTTCACCAAATAGTTTTTATAGGCATAATCCACACCGCGTTAATTGCATTTCATCCGAATTTTTGGTGCAAAATGTCTTATGGGGAACAGGTTCAAAGATCTCTTACCCCTTCTTGCCTACAAATAGCCCATCCATAAAAATAGAAAATCCATATAATTGGATTAGTTCATTCTTTACAGATTATATATATGTTCAGAAGTTTTTTTATTTTTTCATTTAGGCTCTTTTATTTCAACATCTTCTGTTTTTGTACAATCTGCTCTGTTCTGTTTATTTTATCACAAAGATTTATCTTGTTCAGTTAATGTCTTAAAGTTCAATTCAGTCCTTCATAATTCTTTTAAAATTCTATTAGCTTAATTTTTCAATTTTGTTACTATTTTTGCCATCAGATGGTGCTATCTTCTCATTCACTTTACTGCTGTAGGATATAAATAGGCTACATCAACCAAACAATAGTAATTCGCCCTAAGTGCTATTCAAAAGATAGATCAGGCCATTCTGCATAAGACTATAGTTTTCTTCGCATGAACTTAAAAATGTGTCATATCGTTCAGCCAGTTTTTCACAAAGACATCTTTATGCATAGCTTGCTTTTCCATAAATAAACCAGTTTAATTTAATTAAAGCCATGCTGAGTACAATAAGCATGCAGTTTTCATTTTCATCAATACAGTCAAAAGTCGTTAATTCGGACACCCATAATCCGGAATGATCTATAATCCGGACCTCAAAGCTTCAAACTTTGCGCATGCGCGTAAGGCTTTTACGGCTGGGAATATGCTTGTGCACGTGCGCAAAATACGTTTACGAATGCGCGCTTAATGTATAATGTATAACGTTTAATGTATAAAGTGACAGAGGTTATTGAAAACGAAAAAAATTTCAATTGACAAATTAGTTGGTATTCTCGACACAGCAATTATAGGACTTGAACAGCAGAACTTTGTAACTGAACAAGAAATTATGTCTGTTTAAAGAATTAAAGAGAATGTATTATCACATAAAAAACGAAGCAACTTAAACAACTTACATTGAAAGAAATGTTTAATAAAGTAAAAAAATAAATATTAAGCTTTTTTTTTGTAAATTTTGATACCCTTTAGATCATAATTGTTCTTTATTTCATAAATTACGGTTTCATATTTTTAATTTTATAATTTCTGCATGCCATCTTACCAGATTTAAACTGATGATCTATAATCCGGAAAAATCGATAATCTGGAATCGCCGAAGTCCCGACGAATCCGGATTAACGACTTTTGACTGTATAATTACTTTCATTAGAAAGTTAGGATATATTTAAAGATGGTACTCAAACGATGTTTTACAATTTACCAAACTGTCTGTATGCTGGTTTGCACTGAAATTTGATTGTTAAATGTTCATGAATTCTAAAAGAATGCTGTATTTTTTATTTACTTATTTATTTTACAGAAGTGGAAAATTACTTAAGGGTGATGAACTCTTAATTGTAAATGGGCAGCAACTACAAGGTGTAGGATTAGAAGATGCAAGGCGATTATTACGAGTACCTGAAGCTGAAGTGCATTTATTAGTCGCTAGAGAAGTAAGTATTTTTGTTTTTTTTAATTCTGTCTATCATTATTTTATCTATGGCTTAGATTCAGATTTTAAGGTTGTGTTTTAAATTTATATGTAAAATTATGAAGTAAAACATATATAAATTCATTTATATTTACCTCTATGTGATTAATGTTTAAATAGGCATTGATTGAGGAATATTAATTTTGTGCTGCTCAAGAATCATATTTATTAGGACTATTTTGTACATAAGGTATTTAAAACATCATTTCAGGCTTTATTTTCTGCAAATATGCAAACATCTAAATGCAAAATATCTTAAAATTAGTAAAGGAATTTTATAAATATTATTTCAATAACTATAGATTATGCTAAAAACCTGACATTTTTATATGGTTCCTGCAGAGTAAAAATTTCAGTAAAATAAAGATATCCATAATGCTTTAGATAGCTGAAAAAAAGTCAATACTTTTACCTGAGAAATTGACTAAGCTATGTAAGATGCTTATCAGATTTATTGTTCATGATTAGAAGTATGATCAGAACACTAAGAGAAAAATATTCTTTAAAAATGAATGAATGAATTATTCAAAAATTGTTTTTAGTTCACTACAGTATTTAGTTACACAATACAATAACAAAAAATATTCAATGGTTTAACAAATTTTTAAAGTTGCATAAAATAGAGGAGAGCACACGGACATTACAATGTCCTATGGTTGACAAAAAATTTTAACTCCTTTTCTGAAATTAGTTGGCACTCGTATTTTACTGTTTTAAGTTGTGGTGGTTGCAAATGGTAAACAGTGAATTAAATTACTTTTATTTGTGCCTCCCCCTTTTTTTTAAAGACTGACAACAAAAAGTTACTAGGGATAAAAATGAAAGGTAATTTGTAGTTAAAATAAGAATGAATAAAATTGAATTAATGAAAGCAGCAAATCAGAATACTGCTTGTTCAGCACAGTGCCACTCTCCATTCAACAACCTGGGCAATCATCCTACCTTCCCCCCCCACAGATCACTACAGGTTTGATCCTTATGATATTAATGTTCTAAACTCAGTTACCACTACTATTTTTTTAAATATTGTGTCTTATTTTGACAGAAAAAAGGCCAAGCCCATTTAGTAAGAAAAACTTACTCTAGTTTTAATGATTTTTTTTTTTAAGTCTTATTAAATTCAGAGATATACTTTTCCAAGGGTTAAATGCTTTTCTCATACTTCTTATTTTAGTCTATATATCACTAAAAATATTATAATAGCTTTTTTATTTATATTTATTAAAAATTTCAGTATAGAATAGTAAATTAATAATTTATTAATATTTCAGCTTTCTGAAGATTTATGTTTCAAAGATGATGCCTCACGTCTTCAAACAACTCTGCCTCCAGTGCCAGAATTACAAGAATCTAATGTACAAGCTTCAAATGCAGTGCCTAGGCTGCGACACTGGCAGTCAGATGCCTCATCTTCAAATAGAGGGGATAACAGACGCTCTCATCCAGACCTGCCTCCAAAATTAAAAGTAGATAATGAACGTGTATGTGCACATTTTTATTATACTGATACTGATTCAGTTGTTTTAAAAAATAGTTTTTGTATGATTTTTTTTATTAAATTTAATATAATAAGTACAAAATTAAAAACAAAATTGCATAAAATTTAAAAAAAATATTCTTCAATTATATATATTTGAGCAATAACACTATATAAGAGTAATACAAAAATTAAATATAAACAGATTCATCACAATACTAAAAATCAGTATAATAATAAATTAATTAATGAGGGAAAATAATCCAAGTATATTAATAGTTGAGCAGATAAGTTACTGCAGGCCTTATATTTTAACTATATGTTAAATTATTTCTCATCAATACTGGTTGCATGGTGTTTTTTGCATTTCTCCTCATAAGTAGTAACATAAATACAAGATAGTTTAAAATCTCCATAAAAATCCTGTCTCTGAGGTTGCAAGGATCTTATTTCCTATATTATAAATAACGGAACTTCCAAAAATTAATCAGAAATGACAGCATATAGTTGAAGTGATTTCGGCGTAATTTTATAGACAAGCATTTCTTTTTACCATTTGATTATTGTATTATTAATCATCATCATTTAGTAGTTTAAATTTAACAGTTAATATGATCACGGTATATCAGTTGAGTATAAAACAAGGGTTGCCAATTTTGCTTTCATCTCTTGCCTCTTTTAAATATACAGATGGCATTTTTCACAACTGCTTCACTTCGTACAACTACATCCCTACCTTAAAAACAGTTTTTTTAAAAATTTCAGTTATTTATAAAAATAAAAAAGTATATTTTAAAGATGCATCAAAGCAACAAAAAGCTATTTAAAAAAAGTGCATAACCTCAACACATTTCATAATGTGTAAGCATTATAAGAAGTAAATTTTATTTTTTACATTTATAAAATTTCTGAATTTTTGTAGTTCATTCATGAGGATTTATTGTGGAACTGCAATTGCTAAACCTCTAACTAATGAAGTAAATGGTACAATAGCAAAGACTAATGCTACATTCATAAATTCTGATGATTAATCAATGAAGATTATCAGTACTTATTATAGTCTGATAATCAGCTTGTACACTGACTCCAAGTAGCAGCTGAGTTTACACATGCAATTCACCAATGTAAGTTTTTGATGTAGATTGCCTTTTGCAAATAGTGAAGCATGAGAGAGGTTTGATTATGATTTAGGCAGCCATGTCATATTATTCTGCTGGCCCTATTGTAGGCTGAACAGGTTTCTCATCATATATGAATCATAGGACTTCAATAGTATAAGATGATGGCAGTGACTGGTTTTAGATAGCTCAGATACATTATCCACTTTCAACAGCTTTTCAATAACTCGAGCAGGTTTTGGTAGGAAGTTTTATAACATCCTATTCAGCACAAAAGACCTATTCATCCATTTTAAAGGATAATTCAAGATGTTTATATTACAAAGTAATACATTCTATTACCCTGTGTTTCAGTATTTTTGTTGAACCGTAATACAGATAAAAACACTATATATTAATAATAAAAGAAAAAAATCATACTATAAAATTGTGTGTAAATGCAACAGGCCAAATTATCACTTGCAAATAATAAAATCTAAGCTTTTATTATTCTAAAAAAAAAATATTTATACATTCTCAAATTATCTACTGCAATTAGAATTGGGATAGTTTTTAATGTATCTGCAATAAATAGTCTTTCTTTTATATAACAGGTAATCCTTCCTAAATGAGGTAAACTGTTTAATCCTGCATGTTTGTAGTAAAATTTATTATAATGAATATATATGCCTCGTACATTGTTACGAAAACATCAGAGTGCGTAGTCATGATGGCAGAGTGGCAGGATGGGAAAATGACGCTGACACAAAATGAATTTGATAAATTCCCAATTTTTATTTCATGCATATAAAACCAGCTTGGTAGCTATTTATCCAATAATAATGAAATATGGTAAATGCTGTTTACCCTGAATTTAAAAGTAAGATGTAGGCATTTTAGATAGGACAGCATTCTTTGCAGGGTGGAAGCTAGGGAAAGGAATGACGTAGTTTATTGTGCCAAGAGTATTTATATCAAGTCTGATTTATAAGTACAGCTAATCTGTGATTGGTTAATTTTAGGTTGTTATATAGCACGGAAGGATCTCAAATTTGGGAGAACAGATGAATTTAGGGGAAGAGCACCAAATCTAGAATAGTTAATTTTGAGGTTGTCAATTTTTCTTAAAGCAGCTAAGTATTTTGTTATATCTTATATATATGTATGTCTTTTTTTGGTATTGTTGGAGAAGACATAATAAATAATGCCCAAGTGCATAACCTCTGCACTTGGGATAAAGGAGGGGGAATAAAAGTTTTTAAATATGATGATTATGATAAAATTGAAAAAAAATTAATTTTGAAGTTCAGCACACTCTTGATGCATCAGCAGCTCATCATGATTAAATACAAAATAGTATTTTTATTCACGATGAAATATTTAAAGATTAGATCTTAAATGTAAGAACAAATTTATGCAATTTAATTTATGCAAATTGCAATTTAATACAAACTAATTTAAAAATTCATTACTTTTTGCATTATTATTATGACAATATATATAAATTGCACTGTCTGTTTTCATAAATACATATACCAACCTTTTAGCTATATACCTTTTCAGTAACTCAGATATTAATATTTTTTGTGACCAAAAATTCTGTTCCAATTTAATTTATACTATATGGGATAAGAATTTCTGTCATATGTGCAAAAATATATAAATATTCTGCTTTATTTAGAAAAATAAATGTAATTTTATGTTTCAGATGGGGAGCAATGGTATTTGTACACTACCAAGGCGACCCAAATCATCTCAGTTATCATTACATACAGTAGTATTTGAAAAGGGGCCTGGACGCAAGAGTTTGGGTTTCAGTATTGTAGGAGGAAAAGACTCGCCAAAAGGAGAACTTGGGTTTTATGTAAAAACCATTTTTGCAAATGGACAAGCTGCAGAAACTGGTTGTCTCAAAGAAGGTAAAAAATTAGTAGATAAATAAATTTCACACATTTAAAAATATACCAGTTTTTTTAAATGTGTATTTCTTCTCCCATTAAAAAGAAATTAAAATATTGAATGACTATGCCATTAATAGAGATTGTTACTAAACTTGTACGATTCAGCACAAAACACAGTAGTTATTTTGTAGAGGATATCACCTTTTGATGAAAATAAGTGAGATTAAAAACTGTCTACAAATTAAACTTGTTATATTCAGTCATCAAATTGCATCTAATTTTCATTTTATAGGAAATCAGAATGGCATAATGTGAATGTAAAAACAATGCAAAGTGTGATATTGCTGTGGAACTTATTTTGAAAAACTATAAACTGAAGTTGGCCATATGTAATTCTTATTATTTAAGCCTTTGAACCACATTCAACATGTGTTAAGAATACTAATAATTGGCAAAAGTTAACCTGTATTTGCAAGTCATTATCAGTTGGCAAAGGCCACTGCATTTCAAGAATATAATGGTCCTTTCACTGCATGGACAGTAAGTATAGTGGTTAGAGGAGCTTACCGTGGTACTGAAGTGCCTGGGTTTGAATCCCTGAGAAGACATGGATGTTTATAAATGTATAGTGTCTTTGCGGCATGGGGGCACTCTAAATATATGGTGAGCTAAAAGTCCTCTCGTTTGGTTTGGTCTTAGGGAAGAGGAGTGGCAGATCCTCAAAATTAGGGTGGAAAGTCCAACCTCCTTGATGCTCTGGCAACAAACAACAACAACAGTAGCCGTTTCTCTTCAGGAATAAATATTCTGCTTTTCTTAAAAAAAAAAAAAAAAAAAAAAAGAAGGAGAAGTAATAAATAATAATAATAATAAAAATAGAGAGTTTTCAGTTGACATCAATTTCAAACAAAGAATATATGTTGCTGATTCATAATATTCATGTTGAAATGCATCTCTTAAATCTGGTATGTGTTAAAAATGCTTACTTAAAATAATTAATATATTTCTTGAAATGAATGCCATATGATTGTAATATGCTAAGCTCTAATATCCTCCTAAATAATTTTAACATAAACATATTTAACTAAATACATAATTTTTTTATTTTATTTTTTACATATAAGTCAAAAATACACTAGAATTAATATCAAAAAAGATAGAAAAAATTTTAAAAATCCAAACTAAGTTTTTATTTCAATTTTGAAAAAATATTATTTTTGCCAAATGGCTACATTATGCAAAAAATATATATATATAATAGGCAAATGTATAATAATAATTTTATGTATCAATACATACCTCCAGGGATAAATAGAAGGGCTAGCTCATTTCTTTGTTCGACTCCTCGCCGACGCGAGCCTGATGGGGGGACGTAACAGGCAATAATCTGACGTCACTGTGATGCCACCTGTCCTGATTTCCTGCGCTTAAAACAGTAGTTTCATTGAGCTGCGAGATGATTTTCTAGAGGTTACATATCCCAATTAATTTTAATAATATATATATCTGTTTTCTAATAATGTATATATTTAAAATAATTTATATATTGTAATTTTAGTCAGTTTTTATTTTAAATCTATATTGTAAAGTATCGTTTACGTAATATGCTTTTTACGCTGCAGTAACGTGTCGTACACTTACAGAAGTATGAAAATGAGATATTTATTTCATGGGACCAAAGGATCCAAATGAGAGTTTGCTTTTTGACGAAAGAATTGATACACAAATGTCAAAGAGAAGATTTTATTAATGTGAAGGCATAAAAGTCTGCAGCGAAACATTTTCTATGCAGTGTTTATGAAGATGATATGAAAAATCGCTTGTTTGGATAGCCACAAAAAGAACTGTTGAAATGGAATGCTGTGCCGAAAGTAAATTATGATGACAATAATAAATCGAAATTGGATGATGACAATAATAAATCAAAATTTAATGATTTTGAAATAAAACTCACAAATGAAAATGTAGATCATCTTGAATGTTTAAGGATAAACAGAATGCATTGATAATTTGAAGAACAAAATAATATCCTTAGAAAATTGTATTAAATTTTATTAAAGTATTGAAAAATAGAGAAAAGAAAATTTTAGAATGTTTGTTCAGCGCAAAGAAGGTGGACGACATCTAGACAGAAATTGGTATCAGAAATTAAAATCTCAAAAAGCGAAATTTGGGGGGAGCACAAATCAGAGAATTTGGAAAAATGTCTAAAGCCTATTTTTATAAAGACGCAGATTAATGCATTACTGAAAAAGAAGAAAAAAAATCAGGTGGACTAGTGAAAATATTTCACGTTGCATTGTCATAAGAGCTCTGTCATCTTTTTGGAAAGAAAAAAAATTAAGAAAAAAATTGGAATATCTTTACCTAGTATTATCAAATTAAAGAAATAGGGTTTATTTTATTTTTTAGTGTTTTCTAAATTTTAGTGTAGTCCAAGAATTCAAAGTAATGTTCTTACTCTAAAGAAGGAAAGAGGCGAATATTTGTATTCTGTAGAAAAAATATGCGTTCTCAGTTTCGACGAAATGCATCTAGATTGAAAACTCTGCTATGACTCTAAACTGGACTAAGTTGGTTCTTTTGAAAATGTGCAGTTTGTCTTAATCAGAGGTCTCATTTCGCGCTCTGCCTCAAATTACTGAGAAACCGCGTTTTAGATAGAGGATTTGTTTTAAATTTGATATTATTAAAGAGGTTTTAAATAGAGATTGAGAAGAAATCAAATTGTGTCACAAACTAAAACCAAATTATTTATTTAATGGTCAGGGAAACGATAGACAAAAGTAGCTCCAAGAAACATTATTTTCAAAAGTACCCGCAAAAGGTATACTCTACCCCACAGGAAATCAGAAAGCATCTGACTTCTATCTATGGTTAATCGATAATATCTTCAGTATTATGAATAGTACCAAAATATACCAACAAGAATACAGTTATATACATTTATTTAATGTAATCGATTTAAGTAAAATTACAAATTATTTTAAAAATATCTATTATATTGAATCGGAAGAGAATTACAACAATGTAAAATTTACAATTAGGCAAAAAATCAAACGTAGGTTAGCAGAAATGTTGCCATATATGTCATATATGTTTAAAAACCTATGTCAATGTAAAGTTGTTTTTGAGTAAATTTAAATAGCTGCTATATAGTTATCTTAGAAGCAGTATAAAAATTCTCTCAGTTAGCATGCAACAAAGAAATGATTAGAAATAACGTGCATTAAATAAAAAAACCTGCAAATAAAATTTTAAAAAAACCACGGAACTTTATGTTAAAAGAGTAGCACATTTTATCTATTATTTTAAAATTGAGTAAGCATTATTAAATTTTTTAATGGTTTAGTCTAAAATGCAAAGCAGTAACTTGCCTCTTCCAAATTATAGCTATCTTTCACACACAGCTCATTTTAAACGCTGGTTCAAAAACGCTAATTTCCAAGCTGTGAATTATATTGGCGCGCTCAGTGTCATCATGATCATCACTTCTCACTTTCTGCTTCAGGGGGAAAAGCTCTATGAGCTAGCCCTTCTCTTCTAAGTCCTGACATACCTCTTATAAACTTGTTCAAACAATTTTAAAATTTTGAATGCATCAAAACACAAAATCAAAAATTTGTAAACACAAATAATGTCCACACCCTACACATCAACTCACAATAATGATCATTTAGTGTTACACTGAAACTTTCAAAACTTGGTTATACTTTGCAGCAAGCTAAAATTTGCATTTTTATTTGATTTACATGACTAAATATAAGCATGTTGCCAAATAGCAACTACATGCATTTAAATGATTTAACATTAGCATGTGCTATTTTAAAACAGTTATTATGGTAAGTTGATAAAAATAGCTAAAAGCTTTATTTCTTTAAATGCTGATCTTAGACACATATTTCCAATTATAGTTTCATGACCTCCATAATTAGTCAATGTTCTTTTATGCTTCAATTAAGTACAAAAAGTTTCATACCTCTGTATGCAAAATTGACAAATGTTTGCGAATTAATTAGATAATGTTTCAATACTATTAAGTAATGTAGTGATTGCAAGACAAAAGTTGGTCATTTTAATGATCATTAGGTCTGTTTTGATAAAACTTAAAACTTGTTAAACTTATTAAATTTGAAATAAAAATATTTATTATGCATATCTGCAAATTGTGCATCTATATGTACATAATTTTCACATTTAACTTATCAAAGAACAATATATTTGTTACCAATAGGAATTAGTGCTCAGTGTGCATAAAATGATAACGTTCATATTTACAAAGCTAATCAACCTACTTTGAATAAGCATTGTTTTATCCCTAACTTGAAAACTATTTTCATTAACCCGTAACAGAGGAGGTGAAAAAGTTGAACATAACAGGAGCCGTGCGGTCTCATAGACCGCGCATTATAATAAATTTTTAAAAATCGTCTAATTAAAATATCATCATGATATTTCACTTAGATGTTCTTTGAACATTTTAATCTAAAAGAAATATGTTTTTACACTTTAAGTAAAATTAAGTTTTCCCCAGAAAATTCCCCATAGCCTCCTCAAATTTTTCGATGAAATCATATGCTGCACTAAATCTATAAAACTAAAATAAGAATGCATCTATTTTGAATAACTATTTTCTCTATATTAGTTAATATTCAAAGCAAATTTTAACCGCAGAAAATTGTATGTAGCACATACAGAAAAATTTTGACAGTACCTAAAATATCAGTATCTCACTGATTTTCTGATAGTAAACAATTGAGTTTTCGTCTTCTTTAACACATTCATTGCATAATTTTTGCTTGCATTCCAAACTAACAGGGTCTTGGAAAGATAAACATAAATATGCTGGCTTTCTTTTCTTGCTTGGGGGGCACAGACGACATGTTTTCCGTGATTTTAATTTTGCTTCTTTTGTGCACTGCTTCACATCCTTAGACTCAGCTTCTTTTGTGCACTGCTTCACATCCTTAGACTCAGCTTCTTTTCCTAAAATCCGCTTTATTGTCGTGCAACTCTTGATTTATTCTTGGATTTTTCACTCTCGTGTGTAGTAGTGGTTGGACTTATTCTCTCGCTAATTCTTTCGAAAACACCATTCTGGTCATAACAGGGTTTTGGTTATAACCTTGGTGCAAAATGTATGTGTTTACTGTACTCATATCTACTAACTGGTAGAAAAGAGCCATAGGCCAATGCGTTGTTCTCCTACTACAGGAATGGACAGAACATTTTTCATCTAAAGCATCAACACCACCTTTGGTCCTGTTATAAAAACCAATTACTCGTATTTCAGGTTTCTGTGTCTTCGAGTCTGTTTCTATCGAATAATGCAGTGATGACATCAAAACCACTGCTCGCCTTTTTTCGCAGAAATTTTCTTCACAGTCATCTTCTTCACTAAAATAACTTCCAACTTCGTCTAGAATTTTTTTCAGTTCTTCTACATAATGTGGATCAGAAGGATAAATGAATCTCCGCGGACCTAACTTCAGAGCCATGTGTTCACTACTGCCGAAAATTGTAACACTGAGAGAGAGGTGAGGTCTCACAGACCGCTCTAGAAGAATTTCAACAGATACACTTGCCAAAGCATTCTGATATGAAGGGGTCAGAAAGAAGGTCACGAAACGTGAAGCTAGGGGAAGAATCCATTCACTTGGACAAAGCATGCAATAGGGGTGATGGGAGGAACATGTGGCGCAGTCCGTCAGACCGCACGTCCCCTGTTACGGGTTAACTTAATATATTTTGTTTTGAAAATTTTTGCAAGTGAAAAGTATGTGTTTATGTTAATATTAAATGAATTAAAGCGTGTATGCAGTTTTTATCACCTTCCATAATTAGCAGAACCTTTAAACAATTCTGAAAAGTATTATAGCTGACACCAGAAGAAAAAATACATTCAATTACATGCCCCAAATGGAAAATTTAGTTGCTACAACTTCTAAGAGATCAAAACCGAAATTAAATACTTTAATATACAGCTTTTATTTAAACCCTTGGCAGTTGCGAGATTAAGCAGTTCTTTCATCTCACATACGTGCAATATCTATTAGTTGTAAATTTATAAGGTGAGCTATGTTCATTTGCTCCTAGTGTGGTGTGAAACTGTAATGCAAGCTGACCTCATTAATGACCATCAAAAGGTTAAAAAAAATAATTTTTAACTAATTTTATTTAAATTTAAGAACTCATGCATCTGCTAGTTTAATTTCTGTTTTCATATTGAATATTTTAAAATAATCTCCTTACACCTGAAATGTAACTACAAATTATTTTGGTGTTAAGATATTTAATGAAGATTTGTTTATAATGATTTCAAATACTTATTCCATATGTACAATAATTTCTTTACAGGAGATGAAATCTACACATTAAATGGCCAAACTTTACAAGGTTTGTCTCATTCTGAGGCAATAGCAGCATTTAAAAAAATCAAACAAGGCCCAGTAATTCTGCATATTGGACGTCGATCCAACAAAAAAAGGTAACTTATTTCATTTTAATTACAAAACTTAAAGAAATATAAAGTTTATTATAGATACATCAATTAACATTTCTTAATTCACAAAAAAATGCTAAATTTCATTTATTTCCTTCACTTCCATAAAAGTTCCAAACTCTCACTCTGATTTAATATGTAATATTATTATATTTTATACACAAATAATACCTTTTATGCATTTCAAGTTGTACTTCTAAACAATCTAAGACTTTTTAAACCCAGCTTTACTGAATAAATTTCCAAGATTTTTTGCATAATGCATCACTGAGAAATTTTTCTACATTTTAAATTTCTTTTATCACTGTAGTTCTTTTTTTAATGTATTCAAAAAATTCAAGCATTTTAAAAATACTTAACTAGAAATTATATGGATATTTTATTATGAAACTGCACAAGACAGACAAATTACAAATTATTTCGAAGAATTAATGATACATATTAGAAATGAGGCATTGAAATCCTGCAATTTCACAAATCTTAAAAAAGAAAATTCGTATTTGAAAACTTAAATCTTTATCCATTTCCATCAGCTGGACTGAAACTTAAAAAGTAATTAAAAGTTTTAATCTGAATCTTTAAAAAATGAGTTTTATTGATATTCAAAATATGCATTCATTAAAAAAAAGTGACGATTGCAACTTCATTGGACTTATCACCAATATTACCTCTCAAGAGCCCTGAATGCCATACTCATAATTTTCTGGAGAGAAAATTGCATTCCATGGCCATTAATTTTGAAATCTTAATAAAAGTCTTTTTTTCAGCACTAGAGATGCTATTAATCTGGATCCTCACCTTTTGTACTAGCTAGGATCTGTAAGCAGTATATAATCAGTCTTCACAGAACTAGAACCTCTGCTTATTCGAGGAATGGTTCAGGCTTGGCAGGGAGCATACTGGTACTGTCTTGTCTGCCCTGTGGAGTCATTACATCGTACGATATGTGGCTGTCTTTGGAGGTTTGGTCTCATTCAGTCCCCTGGGGGGGGTTGACTAGCATTAGTATGGACCACATTCCTGATTATTTGTTGTTCCTGAAATGGTACCCAGACGTACAGGTGTCTTTATTTTATAATTTGTCATAAAGTCCTTCGGTCCCATGTTTTGTAAAAACTCAAGGGGACTGTATCCCCTTGGACAGTCTCCAGAGTATGGATGCAAACCCCCTGTAAAGCATGAACCAGGTCAAGGGTTTGTCTCTGGTGTTCTGCCCATATCACTTTTCAAATAAGAGAATGTTGCCACCAAATATTGTCATGTATTATTTTGAAAGAAATAATATAGCAAATAAAAAAAAAAAGTATGTCAACACTTAACATTCTATCGGAAATTCTAAATGTATGTTATTTTTAAGCATTTTGCGATTTTGCTGTTATGCCATAAACGTGAAGAAGTTGCGCAAGTCGTCTTACTAAGAAAGCTGAACACAAAGATGATAAACTGATTTTTGCACTGAAAAAAAAAAAAAAATTAATGCACTTAACATTGTATTGAGATTCTAAACTATGCTGCATTTAAAAATTTCGTGATTTTGCTGTTGAATTTTATGTGGGGGCAAGTATGAAGAAAGTCATTTTAATAATAAAATTAAAAAGACAAAAAAAGTTGTATTAATAAAGGTGAGTGCAAAAAAAAAAAATAAAAAAAAGTGTGAGAAGAAACTGGTAAATTGTGAACTCAGCGAGAGCATGAAAAACCTTAACAAACCCTCTGGAAACCATTAAAATCTGGATCTTTTCAGACTTTTTCCTCTTTATGCAAAATTACAGATTCATCTCATTTCTAAATAAATATGAGCTATTTTTCTTGAAAAAAATCATTCTGTTCCTTAACAGATATAGTCCTCTTAAATATTTTGTCTTCAACCAATCAGCATTCATACATCCCACATGCACGGGGGAGATACGAGGTCATCCCCCCAGTAACATAACTGCTCATTAACTTAAGTAGGAATGGTGAGCCATCCAAATTCTTTGTCAGAATTTATAGGTGATGCATGTTATAGTTAAAAAAAAATTCTAAAATAATTATATAAAAACTTGATAAAGAAATTAGGTTATCAAATAATGTAAATGCCATTTTTTGTTAACCAAAATTTTTCATAACTAATAACCTAATAGTCTTAAGTAATCTCTGAAAAATTTAAAGAGGAATATAAATAAGAATAACATATCAGCTCTTTTTGCAATGATTTCAGAGCATTATTTACACTGACTTGATTATTGTCAATCAAGTTAGTGATGGAATTAGCAACACTGATTCAGCAACATTGAATCATACTCCAACTATACACGTTTCTGATGTCTGGGGAAAAAATGCTACAAATATATTTAAGTTATTAGAATTCAAACTATCCACAAGAATTAGAAGTCAAATTTTTTTCAGCACAATGAATATCATCATTAAAGTATTTAACAAAAAATATATATGCAAAACTGAATGAATTTCATGTAATTCTATTTATACGCAGACAAATATATGCTGCATTAAACAATATATTAAAAAATGTTTATTTGAGGATATTAATTTTTGATTATAAAACAATTTATGCCATTTTTTGTTTTCAGTTCATCCCTTTCTGAGTCAAGTAGCAAGTTAGAAAGCAACAATTCTAAGTCATGTAGTACGCTAGATAACATCTAGCTAATGCTCTGTGCCTTTTACTTTGTTAGTGAATTTTTGCAGTTTTGTAGTTTTACATTCTGTTTGTTATCTGAAATTTAAGAAAAAATACATTGTAAATAAAATACTCATTCACAGGCTTAGTATATGTGTAATTTATTTTACATATGTAATATTCCTTATCTAAACAGAACACTTTCATTAAGAAAATGTATAATACCTGGAACAGGCAGTTTCAGTTGTTCAAAATACAACAGCTACTTTTTTATTGCCTGATATTAATCTGTATTTCTGAAAACCAGAAATAAGTGGCAACTAATTTTGGCAGAAGATCACATACACAGCCACATAATTTATTTTAAAACAAAGCGTTCTAAATGACTGTTTAAATAGACATAAAATGAAGTTTTACTTTGCAGCAATGAGATCATAGAAATTTATTGGGTGTCTGCTTTAAATTCATCAAATTTATACGCTAAGATTCTAATAAATCTTAACATGCAGAATCATTGTATTATTAATTAAAAGTGAGTGAAGAAGACAGAAATTAAAAATTCTGGGACACAGTTTTCAGCTTTTACAATAGTTAAAAAAGAATCGCATATCTTAAATTTATCAGTTACGTTCAGAAAATGCATCATTCTAAAATTATATAGTTGCAATTATAAATATTAAAATTTTATATATTTAAATATGTAAAATACATCTGTAATCTTAGATTTACAGTTGCTCACACATAAGATGCTATAGATTTCTGTCTGAAAGCAAGAGAGATTTTACTTCTGGGAAATCAAAAACAGAAAATGTTTGCATTTTTCAAGATTATTAATATAAATTGATTGGTATAATACATTAAACATAATCCATTTGTAATGGAAAAGACAATGGTTAAATCATATTTACTCCAAATCTTATGTCTCAAAAAACAGATTAATATGTGATAAGCCAACTAAATTTTTATTTTATAGTGAACAGATATAACATCATTAATCAACTGTATTAGCAACTTCAGACCCAGTTTTTTAAAGCAAAAAATGCACACTTTGCAATCATATAAGAATGAAGAAACTGAGCTCATGAACCGAATAACAGAGTGGATATATATATTTTTATATACTTTTGGTGGAGTCAAATGCAACCAAAATAGGAGTTGTTCATCTAATTGTTATAACAGTCCTATTTACAAAATTTCAATTTTCTGAAGCTACACATTTGAGTTATGCGAGATACGTACGTATGTATAGACACCATGAAAAAATGTCTTAATCCATTTTAAATCAGTTTTGTAATTTTTTAAGGGAAAAAGAGTCCTTTATTTTGTCCTTACATACAGATGTCACACAGAAACATTGTTAAATTGCTTTTGATAGTGGTCACGATGGATATTTTCATTGAAATATGATATGCGAAATTTTTTGTGATTACAATACTTCCTTTTTACTTCGTATAAGGAAGTAAAAATTATTCTTATTGAAAATGGAGCAATATGAGCCCAGAAATGGTGACAACATGCTAATAAATGGATTAACCAAAAGAATTAATGAGATACTATTACCATAAGAACTTATTTTTATTTCCTAGTAAATACAAACTGCATTTCTAGTATTCCTTTTAAAATCATCATTTATGAACAACTTTTTTTTTTATGTCTATGGCTAAAATAATATTTGTGAAAATAAAAACCAATTATTTTGCTAAAGTCTATGAGCGGCTATTGGCCTTAAACAAAGTTGAGATCACATAAATTTACAAGTGTTGCAGAAAAAACCTTAACAGAGTGTTGGGTATTTAATTTTTGAATTTAATACTTGAAAATATTTTGTTTTTTTGAGTACCACGTAATTTTTTCTTGTGTGCCATCTGTTGAGAATCGCTGATCTAGATGAACCATTAAATAGATAATTAGTTATCAAGTTCTGTAGTCCTTTTGGAATACTCTGCATTATACCAATACCCTTTTAAACATTTATTATCTTTTATTAAATAAATACGTATATTTAACAATTCAATTAATTTTGGTATTTATTAAGGAGAAGTAGTAGATACTTCCTTTTTTGTCATGTAATTTTTATTTAGCATGAAGTCATCAAATTTAACTATTTATTTATATCCTAGATGATGCCTGAAAGTACTGTTCTTGGCAAATAGTTTCTCAATAAATATTTTTTGCTTGTTACAAAAGATGACAATATGCCTCACTCGTTCACCTTGCTTTGAAATGACTTCATTCTCAAGAATATCTTCCAATGCTTTGTCTTTATAGTTCTGAAGTGATTCCTTCAATCTCTCAATTCGCAGATGCAAAACAGAAGTATGAATTGAAACACCCAAGTGCAAAACTGTGTCTATCAGATCTTTTCCTTTGAGAAGCTTAAATATAAAAATATGAATTACTTATGCAACTACAGAAATTTAAATATCAATTCAAATCAAAGTTTGTAACTTCATATTTAATAAAACGCGTAACTTGTATGACACCACCTTTATATTAAATGAAAACGAGAGGACTGGACATGACTGTTTTACATATCCAAAATTTCATAATTAAATTAAACACTGAATAAAAAACATAATTTGATGGTAATTGTTCCCTGCTCCCTCTTCAATTATTATTATTATTTTATAAATTGTAAGTAATAGAAAATGTTCCTCTCTGAGTTAAATACTCCTATTTTCATTTATTACTTTACATTTTCAATTCCGTAGTATTTGCAACAAACATAGGGTTCTATATTATTACAATTAGCTGTTTATATTTCCTTTCTATCTACTCTTCCAATTACGCAGTTTAACTATTAATAAGAGATTGCCATTTAGGTTCAGAGAAAGAGTTGTGGAGAACCTCTTTCAGCTTTCGCAAGATTCCATTATGTTTTGTAATTTCAGCATGTAAATCAATTTATCCTTACTTCAGATATAGCTTAAGACCAATGTTAAACACTGCTCTTTTTTTCCCCCTCATTATTCAAAAAAAAAAAAAAAAAAAAAAAAAAGTTATTTTCAAGTTCTACATTATATCAAATTTTATTATGTATTTTTATTTGAAAGCCATATCTGAATATTTAAACATCATTATTTAAATATTCAAAATAGGCATTTTGAGATAGTAATTGTATCTAATTGTTTGGGATAAAAAATTCAGAGATTTCTAATTCCAAGTAACTAAAAGCTAATTTTTTTCCCCAGACATTGAACATAACTTATATTCTAAAAATGACCATGATGAGCCTTCTTACAATAAAATCCATTATAACATGCATTATGGATGAAATAAAAGGTTATAAATAAATGTGCAAATATTACTAATTTATAAAATTCAATTTTTGATCCAATAAAGCTTGAAAACAATTTCATTATTTTTTGTAGTCAAATAAAAATATTTCTACTTGTAAGCTGCTACAAACCTGAAACCATCTGATCTTATAAGAGTTATGATAGGGCAAAAATTCTAGTATTCTGATGTCACATCTTTATATAGACATCATATGTGTAAGTTCATAAATGTTGTATAATAAATTAGGTCACTTTTCTAGATTTTGTAGAAATTTTTAATCCATGTAGCTGATGTTTTAATTGCATGAATTGAATTCAACATGTACTGGCATAAGCTTCAGAATATTGCTCACTTCTAGGTGAAGGAAAAAATAGAAAGGAGGGGGAAGGAAATACATCCCATACAGAACATTGAAATTCACACAGTAGTATTTTATGTGTGTATACAAATGACTTATTTTCATAGTGGCATTTTTGTGAATATGTATATAATGTTTAATCCTAGGTAATCAAATTAAGAACACAAGACTGTATTTTGAAAAATACAAATTTATTATTACAAAAATTTAAAAATCATAAGATGCATATGATTTTAATTGGGAATAAAATATTAAATTGTTTCCATACATAAAAAAATTGTTAATATACAGTTAAGTAAATAAACACAAGACAAAACAATTTTTTTATTTATAGGAATTATTCTGCTACATTATTTCTCAATTATATTCTAATTTTTGCATACAAACTTATTTACCTAATTGACTAAGATAATGAAGTTTAAATATATAGAATACTCACCCGTTGAAGTATAGGATCTAATTCAACAGGCTCCCCCTCATCATTTTTAATCTCAGCGTCAACATTCAATCCAGTATCAATAATTTCAGAGTAAAATTCAGATAACTTTGCTGCATATAGTTTATCGGCATCTACAATTTTTTGATAACAGATTCTAACAGCCTCCATATATTTGTCTTTTAAGAGATCCATTTCATGACTGAAAATTTTGCACATATTCTAAAACACAAGATTTATATGTTTACATTAACTAACATTTTAATTACAAAAACTGCAGATTAAAAAGAATACAAAAGATAAAGGTCATTCAGAGTGACCTCATAAAAGTAAAAAATCAAAACTCTGATTGCATTTAATAGCTTTTTCAAAGTAAAAAAATCTGATGTGTACACCACAACTTCCTTGTACGGAACATTAAATTATACGCATTTTTTCTTGCATTTCATTTAAACTTATTGGATTGAATTAAATCTACTTCGCCGACAGCGCATAAACCACAATAGAATAAATGTATTCTTTAAAATTCACTCTAGTATTGGTTTAACCATAACGACACTCCCCGGTGCTAGATTCACTTAACAGTATTAATAATTATATAACAGTTAACTTATATAATATTATATAATGGAAACTAACTGTTATATAATCCAATAATTATATAAGAGTTAACTTATATATTTCATTCATATTATAACTCATAATGCACAAAATTTATATCATTTAAAGAATAGAATTATCTAATTGTTGCCACATGTTCTATTCAAATACTATAATAAAGCTAGAATGATGTATAAAAGAAATTAAGCAAACAAAACAAAAATGAAACAGTTTTTCACAGACTGAGTATTTCTCATTTAATTAATTCAGTTCTCACTTCGCAAGAAGGCAAAAATACATAAAAACTCAAAATATCTATATTAAAAATTACGAAGTAAATCTTGAACACTTATTTCCTCGAAAAAATTCCAGAAAGAATTAAGCATGATTTAATTGGCAATAATAAATGAATGTGTTATCTTTGTTGTTGCGAAGCTAAGTTTCTCTAGATTGGCAACAAATCCACTAGTCTCCTGTTTCAAATGTAAACATCAACGGCCGCCATAAAAAAAAAGGCTTTGCGGCACTTAGACAACTTTAAAATTGTTGATAATTCTAAAAATATTGCACACAGATTTACTAAAGGCATAAAATCCTTAACCGGAAGATAAAAACAACATAATACAATCATTTTTAAAGCAAAAAATGTACAATTTACCAACATATAAGAGTAAAGAAACTGAGATCACTGAGTCGGGTAACAGAGTGGATATATATATAAATATATTTATATAAGTTTGGTGCGGCCGATTGCAATCAAAATACGAGGTGCACATCTACATGTTATAGCAGTCCTATATACAAAATTTCAATGTTCTGAGGCTACTCGTTTTTGAGTTCTGCGAGATACGTATGTACGTACATACATTCGTACAGACGCCACGAAAAATTCTCTTCAGAATTAATTTTAAAGCAGTTTTATAATTTTTTTTGAAAGAAAATAGTATTTTATTCTGTCCTTGTGTACAGATATCACACAAAAACATCATTAAATTGCATTGGATAGCGGTCAAAATGCATATTTTCGTTGAAATATGCTGCCTGAAACTTTTCGCGATTACAATACTTTCTTTTTACTTCGTACAAGAAAATAAATAATAAAAAATTAAAAAAAATCATAACCTGAACCAAATATTATTGATTGATCATTTAGTTTATCAAAAGTACTAAAAAGTTAAATTTAAAAATTAAGATTATTTTAACTACAAATATAATAAAAATAGATCAGCTTTATATTTCTCCCATTTTCTTCTTCATACATCGTTATGACCACAGAAAAATCTATTTTTTTATAATCTATCTATATTTGGGAAATTTTTGAAAACATTTGTTGATAAAATGCTCATTTACCAATTTTCGAGGGAATCACCATTATTACCGGAAATATATCCAAAGCTAGAACAAGACTTACCATTACTAACTTTTACTAATTTTTGAAAATCTTTTTTACTATTAAATTACTATTTATAATATATGAAAATTATTTTTTCCACTATCAAATTTTTATGTTTTGAATAGTCAGTAAAATGTACATTTGGAAGTTTGAAAGTAATTTGATCTCCATATGATATACTGAGCTTAAACAACATAGATTGTTATGGAATAGAAAAATGAAGGGAATTTTTAATTTGCTCTTCTTTTGTTTGAGAACTGAAGAGAAAGAGAAGAAAAAGAAATTTAGAAACTTCAACTTTGCTGGTTACACATAACAGTTTCTATATATTTCCTTACAGAATAACATTTGGAAAATTTTTAGCTTTAGTATTTGCTCCAACATTTGTTTCAGGTGGTCTGAAATTATTGTCATACTTGAAGATATTTTGCTTTTATCAGCATAATGGAATATCACCGAAACAAAATATGAAGCTGCATACAGAAACATGAAAATTATATAACAATTGATTAATTTGCATATTTTCAAGAGAAAAGAGGATTTACAGAGGCTGTTCACACAAATTTTAGACAATTTTGCTTTGCTGTAAAAAAAAAAAAAAAAAAAAAAAAAAAAAACCACCCTGCTTGGGATTTTTTTTTTTTAACTGCAGATATATTTTTGAAAGTATAAATTATCATCTGACTCCTTACAGTTTTGTTTACATGCAAAATGTTGCATTTAAAGAAGCAATGGATGAAAGGCTATGTTTGTGTTCATTCCGAAGAAAATTATTCTTATCTAGTTATTAAAAAATACTTTGAAAGCCATGGTTTTTCGATATCTAAAGCTATAATAGGTATTGTTGTAAACAACACAGGAAAAAATGTCAAAATTTAGCTTCAAGTGGAAAAATTGTTCCAAATACATACCCTAGAAAAAATGGAATGTTTCGAATGTCACAAAAGTAAGATCTTTAATGTTAAAAGAAAATCCACCAAGTCAAAGGACAGTTACAAAATCATTAAAATGCTCAGTGGCGACTGTAAACAAAGTGATTAATTCCGATTTTAATCTTAAAAAGTGTGTCGTTCCTCTCCAAAACATACTGCCAAATGCAGGATGTGCTGCAGAATATTTTATGAGAAACATTTATCTGGACAAAAATAGAAAAATGTCATAATAGAAGAACCTTGGATGTACTTAAATGACTGCAATAAAAAGAGATCCATTCATTATCATCAAAGAGGAGAAAAGAAATCTTAAAACACGGTTCAAGGAATCTAAAAAAGATTTTTCTAAGGTATTTATAATTGTTGCTAGTTTTCCATATAGCTGCAAATTAAAAATAAAGAGAGTAGAGAAAAATGTTGAAATGAGCTCCACATATTATTTGCTGGAAACATATTTTATACCCAATTTTCAAATGTGAAATAACTTCTCTTTATGCACAATGTGATCAATCAGTAGGTTTTATCAAGACAAAGCATGCAAATACAGGTCAAAATCTACTGTCAATTTCTTGGAAAAAATGGAACAAGAAATGGGTATTAAGGACATATCCTTCACTCATACCCCTACTAAATTCCCTGATCTGTCAACGACATATTTTTGCACTTTTGGACATTGTCTTGGAAATTACAGTGGATAGTCTAAAATAAGGGTTATCAAACAAAACATTTAAAACATAAACATTTCTGTAATTACAATGAAAATCGTCTAAAAAAGCGCAAACAGCCTCTGCTGCTGTTACAGTGTATAAATTTTCCTGTTTTCATAAATATGAAAAAATTACAGGCTCTTAATTTTAAATACTGAGATATTATAATATCTCAGTACATATAAGTTTATGATATGTCTTGTTTCTTCCATTTTTTATTTTTGTATAATTTCAATTTTGTTCTCAGGTTACTTCCATTTTGGAGCACCATGTATAGTTTAATCCTGTCCCATACTGTTCGGTATTATTTTTAGCGAAAAATCTAACTGCAGCTCATTGTACACAAATACAAAAGGAAATCTATAGCCTCAGCTCACAAGATTTCTATCAACATTTATATTAAATTTACATGAACTCATTAACAATGCCATATTTTTAATCAAAACTGAAGAGAAAATTAAAACAAACAGAATATAATAATTCAATTAACTATGCTATTTCTATCATTTCTTAGAATTCTACTAAATGTTCAATATAACATTTTTTATGGGCATCCCACACTTATTTTTAGCTACACATTACTAAAAATATCAAAAGTAAAATAAACAGAATGTATGAAATTTGATTAAATATACCACTTCTATTGTTTCTTAGAATTCCATTAATGGTTCAATATAATGCTTTTTATAAGCCTCCCACACTTGTTTTTAGTTATACATTATCAAAAATATTGGGATAGCTAAAAAACTATTTTTACTTTCTAGTGCATTCAGCTAAAACTGAAATTTAAAAAGCTTTTTATATATACTTCATTTATTCCACAAATGGAGGAAAAACAGTAAAGAAAATCAGTACCTTTAAACATAAGAAAATTAATATCTGTGATTAGCATAGGAAACAAGTACATGACATAACCTTTCATTCATTTATTATATTTGTTATTTTTGGTTATCTATATATTTTCTTTCAGTCGCACATGCAGCAGCTTATGGAATAAGTCATATAGACTTTTTACCAGTACAATTTAATTAAGACAGACAAATTCCAACCATTCTAATCATTTAAAAATAAATAGCATTAAAAAAGCAGTTTTTAAATAGGTATACACTGATGAGCCAAAACATTATGACCATCCGTCCATTTTTCAATGAACTCGTCTGGATGACATGGAGGCCACTTGATTGCATAAGAATGGTATTTAACTGCTGCTGGAAAAAGTAACAAACTATTCTTGCACTTTTATAAGTGATGGGAAAGGCTGCTGACCTATGCAAATTCAATACAGGGCAGATTATAACGACCCGGCGACTCAAAATGTGTATCTCCAAAACCGCACGACCGGCAGGTTGTTCACAATCTGCCATTGTTAGTATTTATGCAAAGTGGATAAATAACAGTGAAAACAGCAGAAGAGACAAGGTGTTGGACGTCTATACGTCCTTAAAAAAATGGGGGGACAATGGACATTGCTTGGTACAGCATAATTGATGGCAGACAGTGGTTCAGCTGACAGTTCAATACAATGTAGGTCTAAGTGCTTCAGAACACACGGTTCAGTGGACACTTGAATATGGGAGTCGTCAGCCGATG